GAGAGACATCAGCATAAACAGGGACACTTTGGACATAAATCACACAGAGCTTGCATGGTGTTAGGCTTTTTATTAAAGAATAAAACATTTATTTTGGCCATGAGGGTTTTGCAACAGGTCTCCATTGTCAGCATGTGCATCTGTGTTTGTTCAAACGGTGCATAGGTGATGATATGTGTATGTATTTGAATGTTTATGATGTTTGTATATGGTCATGTATGCGGAAATGCAGGACGGAGTCCAGAACAAATTTCCTTACGGGGAAAATAAAGTATATCGTATTTAGTCAGTCTTCTGATGTGCCCTGATCACTGGAGGAGAACCATCAGCATACAGGGACACACAGAGCTTTCATGGTTTTATTAACAAATACAACCTTGATCTAGTCCTTAGCTCTGGCTCCAGATATATGGCTAGTTGCCCACATCTCTGTGGTGCAAATCAACAGAGAAAAAAAGGTTATGACCATTTTCTTGGAGTTGAGTCCTTATATGTGAAAGCTTTCACAATGAAACAGACCAATAGTTTTGGTTGTGTTTCTTAAAACAAGTCAACCCGCCGTGGTCTTTGGGGTAAAAAAGGCTGGATATCATTCTCTGATTTTAGACTTTAAGTTAGAGCCAAACATTATCCACTTAGTCTCCTGCAAAAGCTCATGTACATGGTGCCAAAAAAGAAACACATCACTGAAGGCTAAACTCCCAAAAACACTTTTTCTATGGACTTTTGACTTTAGGGGTAACAAGTACTATTCAAACAGACTCTTTCAGGGACCCCCCTCTCAGAATCTCACTCACATTTCTACTGCTGTCTTCCGGAAAGATGTCAAAGAGATCTAGAAAACTTACATTGACGTTGCAGAATTGCCCAATAGTTCTTGGTCGATACTTTTTCCATTCAAAAAGATCAAAACAGTCTTGTCTGCATTACTCACTTGGACGCAAAAAGTTTAAATTGTCCAAGTTGAAAAGTACAGAGGTCACCCTTAAACTGCTTGATTACGAACCTGTTGTTTGTCTATTTGACCTCTTTTGAAAGTGGATTGTTTACTTTCTCAGGTCATCCTGCCTCAAGTCCAACAACACAACATGTAACACCCTCAAGTTCCAGTGACCCCAGGCACCTGTATAACATCCTGTTTGTATCTGCATTGGTGAACCTGCTGTTTCTCTGGTAATGAATGCAACCATCTAGCATGCCCAACAGAAACAAAAGGCAGAAAGCAAGTTAGACGTTTATCCCAAAATGCACCCTTAATAAATACAAGCAATGGGGACTGTGGGGGAAACTTCTGTGTAGCAATGCAGGAGGAGTCACCCACTCAGGGAGGAGACACGGGGAGAGCTTTGATGTCAAACACTGATGGTTTATTTGGAGCTTCGGCCGGAGAATTCACAAAACAAGTCCAAGAGCCAGAGGTTCTGACTTCACGTCAATTCTGAAGAACTCTACCCCAGACCCGTGTAGCTAGTTCAGAGAGAATAATCAACATGCTGCATAACAAGATAGAATGATAACACGTTGCATGTATGGTTTAGAAGCTAAACCAAACACCACCAGTACCAGTTTGTTCTAACAGGTTGGAGTGGACAGTAACATCTCTGAAGACCACCTCGATGTTCGCTGACGACATGCTTCACTGAACTCCTCCGCTTTCATTATATCTGAATATTTGGAAAGTGAGCTCTTGTTTTTAATGATTGCTTGGGAAAAAGAAAATCTTCCATAATAAAAGTATTCTGTGGCCGGAGGCATCAGCGAGCTCAAAGGAGTCCTCATGGAAATCTCTGCTGGATTTGCCAAATCACGCCTGGGCGCTGCAATCATCTGGAAAAGCCTTTGAGCTTTAGTGTGTCCAATTCAATCTGAGTAACCCAACAGCCTCGGCTCTGAGATATTAGCCTTTACACGCAGGAGGAGAACAAGGCACGCAGAAAGAGTCCACTGAAGAGTTTAGAGAAACTTAAAGAAACTTCCTTTAGAAGCAGAGGGAGTGAAGGGATGAACACTGGAAAGTGAAGCTTGACGATGCACAGACAACTTTCTCACTTTAAAACCGTATACGTTTGATTTGGAAATGTTCCAACAACCCCTTTTGAGCAAGTTGCATAACACATGGAAGCCTTTTTTATGTATATGTTGGATTTATATTTGCTTAATTGTAAGATGTTAATCATGTAGCATGGAGAAGTGATGATTGACAACAACCTTTTTCACTTTAAAACCGTATACGTTTGATTTGGAAATGTTCCAACAGCCCCTTTTGAGCAAGTTGCATAACACATTTCATCCCTTCTTTCTCACTATCATGTATACGTGGGGTTTATAGTGATCTTTTCTTATACATGTGTGTCTTATTGTAAGATATGAATGCATTTTTTATCAAATGAAACCTGAAAACTAGCAGAAATCTTGTCATTGCTGCAAGTTTACTGTTGATTCTCAGTGGGGGAATGGAAACACTTTATCGTTACGTGGGACGTTTTAATGCTCAAACCAACCACATCATCTCCTATAACAATACCATATGTGCAGGTCATCATGCAGAACAGTTTCACAGAGTAACGGACAATCACTGTTCTGTGTATATTTGTAAAATCTTGATTTGGTCTCAGATGACTCACCGTAGTTGTAGTTGTTCTTCGTGTAGCTTTTCAAACCCATTTTGACCGTCTTACAGGTGCAGCGATCTACAGAGACACAAACAAATGGATGATGATGGGAAACAGACAGACACATCGACATGTTCACACTTCTTAAGGTCTAGAGGTTTATCAGCTTGTTTTAAGTCAAATGGGACGAATGCTAGGGATGAGAAAAGCCACTGTCATTGTTGGTTGTATGATTGTTGGCTAAATATAGCACTATACCCATTGATAGTGTGTTTAATAAGTGCCACAGGGATGAGTCTTTAAACCATGACATGTTCCCTCGTCTCAAAGTCAATGTCCTTTTTGTTTATTTTAGTTTGAATGGAACGATCTTGGAAATAAGGTCTGTGGGTAACACAAGATTAAGAGATGTTGTAAAATATTATTTATTGACATTTAGCAGCAAACAATTACACAGTGTTTTTTCAAGACATAGTAATTGTGCATCTTAAGTTTGTCTCTCCGAAATGCCCTTTTTTTA